TTAAAAGAACTTAAAACTGTGTACGGAACAAAAGTTGTGGCAACTGTTGAAAATAGCTACATGAAAATTTTGGAAAATCATAGAGAATTTGAAAAATTGGGTAAGTTCGCCGCTGACAACGGATTATCATTGTTGTACCATGGTGGAGCTAATAATTAGTTTGAATTCACAGTTGATGAAATGGAAATCTTACAATAATCAATGTAATCTAAAAAATTTTTAATAAATAGAAAAAATTCAAAATCATAGTTCTTTTAATTTCGATATTTCCCCTCTTACATTAAAAGAAAGATTGTTATTCAATATAAGTTAAATTTGGTATTTGATCTTAGAAAATGACACAAAATTGATATTCTCGAACTTTCAAGAAATTTCTTTTGGATTATGACAGCCAATCTAAGGTCATCTAAATCTTATATAAATCTCATTGAGCACGCCTTTTCATCATTGTAATTCTGAAGTTTGTCTAGTATAGTTAAAAAAAAAACGAGTGAACTAAACTATTATTCTGATTAAATTAAAATGGTGGAAGAGGCTTATGCTCTTCTACCATCATTGAATCATAAATCTAGTGGAATCATTGGTAAATGGGTGTGAATTAGTGCTAAAAATATTATTACTTCAAACAGATATTTGCAATCGAGTGGTTTATCGGTTGGTGAAAAACTACGGATTCAATCGATAATTGCAGCACTCGCAACATTACATGAAAAGTTTATAAATCATTCAGTCGTTGGAGGAAGCCTTCAATCAACAGAACAATTGATTCGATGGAAAGATTAAGAAAATAATTTCCAAAATCGAATTCGCACTGGTGTTGTCATTAACTTGCAACATTTCAATTTACGAGACTTCTTATTGGACGCTGAAAAGCTGATTACCGAAGAGTTGACAGATATAGTAACAAGTGAGGGAAATTTTAAACTGAACTTTGTCCTTGCTTGTAAATTCAGTAATCAAAAAAATGATTGAACACTTGTAGAAATTAAGTACTTTAGTGTTAAAATCGAAGCAATTCCGCTGTCAACAGACGTAAAAAAACATTTCTTGGAAAATGTTTTTGACAAACTACTAACAAAAGTCGAGGATTCTCAAGAACGCGATTCTGGTTGGTCAATTGAAGAAATTGAATATCTGCAAGTCAATATCAATCGTTATCAAACTTCATCAGCCGGGCAATCTACATTTGTACCTCTAACAAAATTTATACAACAAAAAGAAGCAGTATTAAATATTAAAAATAATGATGAATGCTGTTTCTTTTGGGCAGTTACGGCAGCACTTTATCCAGCTGATATAACTTCTACAAGAACAAGTTCATATTCACATTATGAAAGTGTGCTAAAAGAAGGTATTAACTGTCCTATCACTCTACATAATGTCCCAAAATTCAAAGATTTCAACAATCTAGCAATAAGTGTGTACAGTTTGGATGACAATTGTAAAGTTATTCCATTATATTTAAGTAAACATTATAAAGTAAATGAACCATATATTTATCTATTAATGGTTCAGAGTCGAGTTGAAATAGATGATAAAGAAAACGTTAACTCAATTTTTCATTTTTGTCTTATAAAGGATCTTTCAAGATTAGTTGGAAATCAAATTTCTAAGCATAACGGTTGAGTAATTTTATGTGATCGATACCTCAACCATTTTCAGGTTAAAACTTCATTTGAAAAACATCGAAAAGACTGTATCAATATAAACAATACGCGAATTTCACTTCCTGAAAAAGGTGTTAAAATAAAATTTGGAAATTTTCATTTTAAAGACCCTGTGCTATTTATTGTCTATGCCGATCTTCAGAGTATTCTTGAACCTGATTCATGACTGAATTGAAGAAAATAGCTGAAACTGTCAAAATTAACCCAGAAAACGTAGTACCAATGAAACCATGAACATCCCAACAGTCAAACGATTTTTGTAATAAAAAAATCTGTCACATTTGTAATAAACTATTTTTACATGATGAAACAAAGTTACATGATCACTGTCACTTTACAGGTAATTGTCGAGGCACTTCTCATGTTAATTGTAATTTAAATTATCAAAATTCATGCATAATTCCAGTCATTTTTCATAACTTTTCAGGATATGACGCACATTTTTTTATTGAATCATTAGCTCCATCATTTAAAAGTTATATGGAATTATTAACTATCAATAAAGAAAAATACATAGCATTTACAAAAACAGTTGATCAGAAAATTTCCTGCGAAAAAAGGAAAAAAGAAATAGTTGTTTAATTACGATTTATTGATTCTTCCCGATTCATGAGCAATAGTATTGAAAAACTTGCATCATTTTTTAACTTGCATCGAAGTTTCTATTCCAAGTCAAATAAATTTCAACTAGCAACTCGTAAAGGTGTTTTCCCATATGAATGTATTGACAGTCAGGAAAAACCTGACGAACGACAACTACCTGACTATTCAAAAGTCTATTCGAAACTCAACGATTCGGACATTTCCGATGACGATTACCAACATGCACGCCACGTTTGGGATCAATTTCAACTAAACACCCTCGGTGAATATTCAGATTTATATTTAAAAACAGACGTTCTTCTGTTAGCAGACATTTTTCAAAATTTTAGACAAAGGTGTCTCTGCACTTATGAGCTTGATCCGTTACATTACTACACTGCACCTGGATTAACTTTTGATGCTATGTTGAAACATACAGAAATTGAACTCGAACTTTTGGACAATGTAGAAATGCTCAATTTCATAGAAAAACGTATTAGAGGAGAAGTGTGACAGTGTTCAAATAGATATGCGAAAGCAAATAACCCGTATATGTGTAATGATTATAACCCCAATGACAATGTATCATATCTCATGTATTTCGATGTAAATAATTTGTATGGCGCAGCAATGGGTGAGTATCTACCGACTGGATCATTTAAATAGGTGGAAGATGACATCAATATTTCTAATATCCATGAAATAATTAGAAATATCTCCAAGAATTCTTTAATTAGTTACATTTTCAAGGTTGATTTAGAGTATTCACAAATCTTACACGAGCATCATAAAGATTTGCCATTGTGTCCTGAACACCACAAATCTTCAAACAGCGATAGTAGCAAACTTATGACGACATTATTACCTAAACTTGACTATGTGATTCACTACAGAAATTGAAAACAATGTCTTGATTTAGGAATGATTGTAACCAAAATCCATAGAATCCTCAAATTTAATCAATCACCATGGATGAAGAAGTATGTTGATCTAAATACAGGTTTACGAAAAAAATCTAAAAGTGATTTCGAAAAGAATTTCTAAAAATTAATGAATAATGCAGTTTACGAAAAAACAGTGGAAAACGTCCGGAAGTATAAAGATGTAAAGTTAGTTACATAGTGGGAAGGTCGGTATGGTGCAAAAAATTTAATTGCCTTTCCAAAATTCCACAATAGTATAATTTTTGACAATGACATGGTAATAATAGAAATGGAGCGAAAAAATATGTATTTCAATAAGCCGATATACGTAGGATTTGTAGTTTTAGATCTTTCGGAAATGTTCATTTATGATTTCCATTACAATTTTATTAAAAGACCATTTACAGACAATCATAAAAACATATAGTTTAATTTATCAATTTCTCAATGCTCACATTGATGATTGCATCAAAAATAATATACATAAATTTGACACCTCAGACTATCCACCAAATGACCGTTTTAATATTCCATTAGTTAATAAAAAAATTATAGGGCTTATAAAAGATGAAAATAAAGGTGAAATAATGACGGAATTCATTGGGCTAAAAGCCAAAATGTACACATTCAAAATTCAAAATAAAAAAAAAAAGACAAACGTAAAGCAGAGGGTGTCAAAACTGCAACAATAAAATCTATAACATTCGATGATTACAAGAAATGCTTACTTAATCATGAAAAATTATGTAAGACGGAATATCATATAGTCAGCAAGAGACATGAAGTACATACAATCAATAGAAAAAAATTAGCATTAAGTTAAGAAGATAATAAAAGAGTTCTTTCAGCACAATCAACTGATACACTTCTTTGGGGTAACGATTCATATTGAATAGTGTTAATAAATTATTGTAAATATAATATTTATGTAAAACTTATGAGAAAAAAAAATTCATTTAATAAAAAAAATATTACGAATTATTTACATTAGTTTGTATTTTTTTATTCATCTCTTACAAATAATATGACAAAATCATTGTCATCCTTAATGGTCTTATTTTTTTTTTTTTAATTTCTTCCAACATTCGTCTATTAATTTTATCAAGATGTTTAATTGTTTTTTTACCTTATTGATTCTTTGTTGTTCTTCATGAGTTAAAGGTATCCATTTAATATTAGGAGCTTTATCTTTTGTGTAACGTAGTAATTTTCGAGCATCACTATACATTCTGTCAGCCATTGCTTCTCGCTCTTCCGCTAAAGACATTTTGGCAGTCATTGTTTCTATCGGGATCACCTGAAAAAATTCCCAAAAAAAAATCCTGGAAATAAAATCCTGGCAAAAATATCTTCAAAAAAAATGTTCCCTATACTTAAATCCCGTATAAATAATGTTCCCGAGCCATGAAATGTATGGAAAACTATAATAGAAGCATAAGTATTTTTAATTCAATATTAGTCTCAATCAAATTCTGTAGTACTCATTACCGTGTAAAGTCTCTAAGGGCAGATCTAAGGGATATTTTTGCTAGGATTTTTCTTTTTAGGAATAGGAATATTAATTTTGGGAATATTTTCGCTATGAAATGTATAGAAAACATTAAACAAATCAGTATCATATTGTTTTGCATAACTGTGTTGTAGATTTCTGTAATATCGATTGATATTGATAATGAACCTAGTGAGTATTCTTGTCATATCGATATATTTAGGTCATTTGATAAATAGTTCAATAAATACGAGATGTCGCCTGGGTCAGATTTCAAGAAGACATCTTAATTTAGATTTCATTATATTGGTATGTGTAGAGATGGATAGGTTAGTAAGAAGAAAGGTGGTAAACATTTCATATTGCTATAATTATAACATATAATAATGCCATTAAAATTTGTGGTGAATCAAAAAGGTGGAGATAATCTTGTGGATGAAGACGGTTACATATATGTATATCATCACGATGGAGTTAATAATAAATACATTTGGCGTTGTGAATTTTACGCTGGAGGACCATGCGGTAAATGTCTGGCTCGTATTCACACAACCTCTAAAGACAAGGATGGTAAGATTCATATCTAATATAGTTCGTTTTCATAATCGTTAATCTGATTGTTTATGGAAAATAAATAAACTTATTTTATAGGTAAAATAATCGAAATGATAAATAGCCATCATCATAGACCAGATGCTGCCAGATTGAAATCACTAAAAGTGATGGAACTATTGAAGAGAAAGGCTAAGCGTTCTACAAAACCCAGTAGTGTTGTTGTTGCGTCATTGCTTGAGAATGTTGATCCTGCTGTATTATGTCAACTAGCTAGTCCTCACAGTTTAGCAAAGACTGTACAACGTGTTCGTAATAAGAACGTTAATGTGATATTACCAAATCCAAAGTCTGTTGATAATCTTACTATTCCTGAAGGTTATCGCGTGTATAGTGAACGAAAAATTGATTTTTTAAAATATGATTCTAAGGACTCAAATGTGGCTAGTAGTGAACGTTTACTGATATTTACGACTGACAATAACTTATCAGTACTAAGAAATGCTGAAGTGTGGTATGCAGATGGAACATTCCAAACTGTTCCGCGAATATTTTATCAATTATATACTATACATGCAAATGTGAATGATGCAGTTGTGCCACTTGTTTATGTTCTTGTTACTGGTAAATTTAAATCTGTTTATGTTGAAATATTGAAACAATTACAAATACTTGAGCCACGTTTAGATCCAAAGACAATAATAGTAGATTTTGAAATAGCATTTATACATGCTGTTAAAGAAGTGTTTCCTAATGTTCTTGTCAAAGGCTGCTTTTTCCATTATACTCAAGCTATCTGGCGAAAAATACAGGCTTACCATTTACAGAACAATTATGCTAAGGACTCTGAATATGCATTAAATTTAAAAATGTTATTCGCAATACCGTTTGTGCCAGAATGTGATGTTGTAGCTGCATATGATGAATTAATATCAACTGATTTTTATATTAAACATGAGAGTGAATTAGAAGAATTGCTAAGTTATTATGAGAACATATGGTTAGGTAAAATGAATCGTCGGAAACGTCGTGGTGGTGGAAAATATGCATTGTCGTTATGGAATCAGTATAGTAATACTATCAATGGGATTGGAAGAACCAATAATAATGTTGAAGCTTGGCACAATGCATTAAAAACTCGTGCACAAGCATGTCACTTAAATATTTGGAAATTTATTGATTTATTAAGAAATGAGCAAGTATTATCTGATGTCAAGTTGGAAGGTTTTGTTAGTGGAGCAAAAAGTAAACCAAAAAGACGAAAGTATCGTGATAAAGAATCAAAAATCAAAAGAATAGTTGACAGTTATGACTTAAATGATGTTTTGTCTTTTCTAAGAGGAATTGCACATAATTTATATTAAGAAATTCATATTGAATTTTTTTGTGCTAATATACTAATGTACAAATGAATAGAACAAGAAAAAAATATTATATGTTGAAGGCTCGCAGCTGTTAAGAAAGCTGAAGAATTGTATTTATTTTTTTTTCCAGTCTAGACTGGTTTCCAGCTCGAGAAGTATTGTGATAAAAAATCAAAAATCAAAAAAAAAGTTTAAAATTATGACTTAAATAATGTTTTGTCTTTCCTAAAACGAGTACAATTTCCATAGAGATATTAATATTAAAGTTTTTTTTTATAAAAAATCTAAATAATTGGCAGTAAATTTTTACTTTGATGACGTTAATAACTAGTAACAAGAAAAACAAAGATTTATGTATCATTTTATGCTAAAAGTAATTAACATTCGAATTGTTAATTAATGTGATGAATAAAGCAAAGATTTATATTTTGTTAAAATAATGTGACTGACCAAATGTTTATGTGTAATATCATAGAAAAAAAATATTTTTTTTTGTGTTGGTGAAGAAAAAAATAAAATGATGAAAAATGCAAATAGAAGTACTGTGTTTTATGTTAATTTATATTTTAGAAATATCAATTTTCGGGATATTTTTACTAGGATTTTTTTTTTAAGACTATTAATTTTGGGAATCTTTTTGCCGGAATTTTTTTTTCGGGATGTTTTTGATGAGGATGTTAATAGGTGGACCCGTTTCTAACTCATTAGTTAGAGACATTGTAAATATTTTATGTTAATCCAGCTATTGTGCGTTTCATCAAATCCTAACCACTTGACAAAAGCTTGATTACCACGCTTTTTCAGAATTTTTTCTATCAAATAAATATCAGGATATTGTACCTTAGTCAATTCTTCTTGATAAAAACCTCCTTTAATCGGTTGATCTTAATAGTCGACAAGCTTGTAGGTTACTAGATTAGTGTTCAATACTTGGCTTACATTAAATATTTCGGGTATCCAATTACTGGTGTATCCCTTTTCAAATACATGTTTGTATTTACTTATGCACACTTTGTCACCGATCTTAAATTTTGTCTTTTTCTGGTTTTGTTGAACTTTAAGTTTATTATTGTAGATAGTAGTGACTTAATTGTTTTTTATTGGCTTAAGAAACATCAATTGGTTTCATTTTGATGGTTCTATGTTTGCTATTGTTATATGATGTCATTAATTTTTGTAAGATGTCTATCTACTGGTAATTGCCGCGCAACGTAAATTGTTTCCACATTTCACTTTTTAATGTACGATTAAATCGTTTACATATAGATGCCTTAAGATTACTAAATGTGGAATACATTTTGATATTATATTGTTTCATAAGTTCTTCAAAATCTCTGTTGTAGAATTCCTTTTCTCTATCAACATGCAAGAATTTGGGCACAGCCCAAACGTATTTCGAAAAAACGTCAATAACAGTCAATAAATACTAATGACCTTATTTATGAATTTTATATGCTGTCATGTAAATTAGATCAGCTTGCCAAGATTCATCAAGACCACGTATATCAACATGTCGTCGTTGATAATTTCTCCTAACCGGTTCATGTAGCTCTTCAATTATTATTTTGTTCTCCTTGTTCATGATGCTGCTGATCAAGATATTCCGGAATATTTTCTTCCGATTGTTTAATACTTTCAGCTTGTTTACGATTTGTCTTTTTCAGTAAACGTAATCGATGTGACTCATGTAGTTCAATTGGTTCATTCAATTCTTCTTTCAGACGTTTACGATATTCTTGTGATAATTAAATATGCTGATCTACTTGAACATCAATGATTTTGGTTCTTTCTCTATTTTCTTCAATGATTTTTCTTAAATTTGCTACAGTTTTGCGTTCCAGACGTAATTCTATTTCAATAAAAATTTTTATTGATAGAAGCAGTCAATACCTCTATGTCGTCCCATACAAAAATAGATTCGCATAATATCTTGTTTTTCGCATGCTACATCATCGAAAATCATAATTAAGTTGGTTTTTGCCTCATCTGGTTTCACCACTTCCTCATGCTCATTAAAAGCATAAAATTTAATACCTTTAATTTTTTTTTTAAAAACTGATATTTAGGTTGGTTGAATGATTTTGAATACAAATAAATATTTTCAAAACGTAGGCCATTTGGATGTACAATAAGTGCTGAAATAGTATTTGTCTTTCCACAAATTAGATGGGCCACAAATAACACCACGGACACTATTTGGGAAAAGTTGTCCGTAAAGTTTGATATTTGTGTCGCATGATAGGTCAACGTTGATTACAGGCAACTTAATGTCTTGTTGATTAAACTTCATCTTGATGTAAAATGACATTCTAGCTATAAATTTACATCTTTTATAGGTGTCGAGTTAGTCGTTCTTGAACAATGATAGTGCAAAGATGTATCAAAAAACGAGGTGCTGGTATTGTTAACATACTTATAAACAAATTGCCATTCGAACTTCATATACCACGATATCATTATTGTGGTCCAGAAATTAAATTAAAAGAGAGATCAGCACGTGAAGATCCAGGAATCAATCCATTGGACGCTGCTTGTAAAGGACACAATATTGCATCTTCGCAAAATCAAGATAACATTGAAGCTAGAAACGCAGCTGATAAAATACTTGCTGAAAAATCTATGAAATGTGTTTCTGCGAGAGACGCAGATATTGCTGAACGAACTGCTGCTTTAGAAATTTTCAACGTCATAAAAGTTGAATCAAAGTTGGGAATGGGTTTGAAAGAAAAAAACAAAAAGGCCAAGGGACTTAAACATTTGCGAAAAGTTGTTAATTCAGCAAAGCTTATGTTAAATTCCAGTTCAGATCTTATTAAATCTGCATGAGCTATTTTGCCTCTTATACCCCTATTTGCAGGTTTAAGTGCAGTTGGTGCTGTAGCAGGTGGCGCTGCTGGCATTGCAAGAGCAATTAATGATGCTAGAGTCGCCAAACGTCAATTGGAAGAAGCAAAACGACATAATGAGAAAATGGAAGCAATAGCTTTGGGTAAAGGTTTACGTCTAAAACCGCAAAAGAGAGGATTAGGATTGTATCTGAAACCGGCAAGAGGAAAAACTTAAATTCACTTCATCGTGCACTGACTGATATTGAACTCAAGAGATATGCAAAAACCGTGAAAATACCCTTTTTTCGTGGTGTTTTTATGCGGAATGATCTTCCAAAATCTACACCGTGGAAAAATAAATCAGCAACTATTAATCTCGACGATAAAACTGGACATGGAACACATTGGGTGGCATATTAGTTATATATTATGACAGTTTTGGCAATTTGCAGCCACCACATGAGCTTATGACATATCTTAATGTTGATAAAATACTGTACAATCATGAAAAGCATCAAGATTACAGTAGATAATTGCGGACACTTGTGTTTAAAATTTTTACGTAGAAAAGTATAAAAGTAATATGCAGTTTCCAATAAGCATCACTCATAGATGATTCACTCACTTTAACATTGTCTGGACAAACGTTCATTCTAGAAGCGTTTTATTTTTCACCAATTGAATTATCATCATCTAAAAAATATAACCTAGTGTTACGTCCCCGTAACAGAACGGTCTCTTTTTTGAGTCAAGACACAATCGCCTTCCACTCTACTCGGATGCGGAGACCTCGCAGAGTTTATTCTAGATGGGAAATTAAAGAAATGGGTAAGGTACTCAGTGCTGGAAAACCACTATGGTGCAACAAATGAAGAAAAGAGTTGTTCCTTTTTATTACAGATAATCTTTATTAGTCTTTTCTCACTTTAGTTGAATAAAAATTGTTTTACAAGGGTGAAATTGATAGGTAGCAGAAAGTTGAAGCGCTGTTTAGCAGGTCGGTACGTAGCAGGTTGTAGTGCTGCCTGAAGATACTCGGCTAGGCTTCCTGGTTGGTTGATTTACAGCCGCTTGGGCTCCCTCGCCGTACCGCACCCCTCTCTCTCTTACTCGTAGACTGCGACTTCGCTCGTTTGCTCATGTATGTATATTTCCTCAAAGATTTCTCTTCACAAAATCTTTCAAAAGACAAAAATTTAGCAGAGACCGAAGTTTCTTGGGAAAACCTGGACTATTTATCCAGGGTTCCAACGCCTCTGAAAAGCTTGAGGTGGTAGCTTTAATGCCCTTTCTGCCAATCCGGTAAATTTGAATATCCAAATTTTCTTTGGTCAGGCTATCCACGTGCGGGCTTCTTAAACTGCCTTTACGCTCGCTTTCTCTTCTTTCCTTCCCCTGTCTGTCCACCTAGCGTCCTTGAGTTTCCCCTTGGTGCCTTCAAGTCTGACTTCACTCATTGATTTTTCCTTACCTGACTTTCCTCTGCATACTGTCCTTTTCTTTTTAAAATGTAATATTCTCTGTTGTTTTTAACAAAAATTTTGTGTACTCTGGTACATAACACCTAGGACTTGTGGAATTGTTAACCTTTAATTCCATTCCAAATATCGATAACGGCAACAATAAATTTTATTATACACTCAATGATAAAGATAAAAGTATTAAAATCCCCACAGGAAACTATGAAATTGAAGACACACATCAGATTTACCAGTATCTATCTTGAAAATTAATGCATTAAGGATCGAATGTAATATTACTACCGGAGTATACATGGGATATCTTTCTCTTTATCCACGTCAAAAAAATTATTTAGATAATGCAGGTTGGGTAACTGATAATAAAAGACTATTTAATGATAATGGATACTTTGATGTTTTGATACCGTTACATATGCTACTGGGATTTTCTGAAGATTATCATCGCATAATTGTCAATGCCAAACATGAATTAATACTTTCTGGTTCAAATACCGATCTTATTGCAATTGTACAAGCTGCCGCGGAACCTGAAGAGACGATCACGCTTATAAAAATTGAATGGATAATTCCTTATGTCACTGTTGCAGACATAAAAAAGAAGAATTGTTAAGTTACATTGCAAAAGACTTACCGATTTCAGTGAGTTTCAGATCATAGGCATTATATACATATCCAATGCTGCCAAACACGTATGGGTCGTAAAAACATCAACTCAAATTGAGAAGAATGATATCCAATCAAGGATCGGTGAAAATCGCTGCCGATAATTTATCGCTGTCGATAACTTACCACCAGAAGTTACCGCGGTCGGTGCGGATCAGAACCCACTTTTTACCTCGGCCGGTATTGCAGACGGATCTAGAACTTTCTATTGTCCTGGTATTAGAAACTATGCGTAGATGTAATAAATCATCTTCATAATTTTTAATGAATATTTGTATTCTTGTTTCTAAACATATTGTCTTGAGATCAGTTGTTTTTTGACATATAATACAATACTTATGAGTCGATGCAATACGTTGAAATGGAATTTCAATATAATCATCACTTGGATGGTACTGATATGTAATATTACTTATATTACTGTCACTACTGGCATCAGAATTTTCAGAG